CCACATAAGCAAAAGAGAGGGTCATCGGTCACATGATCGATAATCTAGGTCCTAACTATTATTATTGTTATTATTTAATTTGATCTTTGAAAATTATGTATTGGATTTTATTATTGTCTTGTACCTTGAATATCAAAAAATTTCTTCTGGATGCCAAAGAGGTTGGTTTAGTTGGTAAAAGTGTGCTTGTGGTTAACCTGCAATCCAAATTCGGTCTTCACTACCAGCAGTTCTCGTTGGTGGACGATAAGTAAATTCATACCAATGATAGCTGGCAATTAGATGTCACGCGTAAGTTCTTCTGGCATGAGATTGTGGTATGCTCTTACGCTAATGGTGAGATTAGCCAATCTCCCCCTAAACTTTTTGTTCAAAAAAAAGAAAAAAGCTCTGGATTGGAAAATGGAAAGCATATTTATCTCTTTAATTTGAGGCAAATATACAAAAAGAACTCATGGTCCTCGTTGTAGAGTATTCTATTTATTTTTTGAACACACGATAGTATCTACTTTAAGAGGGTGGGAAAGTGGGCTAAACCTTACAATGGGCTTGTCATAATAATGTGATTCAACTTGTCTTTGATGAGAATTTGAATCAAAGACCTCTCACTTATAAGCGAATAAGATTACCACTAGACTGGAGTACTAGGTGGCTTTAGAGTATTCTATTTGTAGCCGATGAACTCTATGTTGTCCTTTGAGTTTTAAGAAAATATAAAGAGAAGATACCACAAAAGCAATTGAACAATGGCCATGATACACTCCGTGGCAAACAATAGGGGCGGACAAGTTAATTTTTGATCAAAAATGAAAAATGATTAAGTTTTCAATTGATGAGAAAGAAAAATAAAGAATGAGAACTTAATTTATTCTTAAATGAGACTCCTATCACCGACGAGTTTAATTTGATAGTAAAAAACTCGGTTGTTAAACAAGATTCGACATGTCTAGTAAATTATCAAAAGAAAACAAAATGCATAAAATATCAAAAGATTCAACCACTAAAGCTATATGTTCTTTGCAACACCGATAGAACTTTAACTTTATAAAACACTACTACATGATGGAACTTTAGCTGATCATAGAAACTTGATTGGGAGACAAATATGTATATCGAGTTATCCATATTGGCCTATTCTATGCAATCATATTTAATATGTTATTTTTTGCTTTCAGTTTCGTTTGGAAGCTAAATAAAATGAGTAAAAAGAATTTGTCGGCACAGACCAAACAAGATGGTGGGATAACATGGCAGCTCCATGAGTGTCATCACTTCTCACGCTCAATCTGTATAGAGAGCTATAAAATAATACAGAGAATTATAAAATAGATCAACGAAATGTTTTGGACGTGCGTCATGCATTTTGAAAACTGTCTGTGTAGCTTGCGTGATTATGAGTATTTAATCTTATATTTAAATTTCGTGTTTGAATTCTTGCTCTATCAATATCAATTGTTTAATAAGCAATGTATATGTTTAACGTGTATAGGAAGCTATAAAATAATACAGAGAATTATAAAACAGATGAACAAAATGTTTTGAAAGTCATGAATATTGATTGTTCTAAAAATCTCCGCCTAGGCACTAGGCGGTTGACCATCGCCCTAATTAATGTCTAGGCATTTGAAAATTAAGAAAGGAAGCCTAGACCTGCTGAGGCACCCATCTAGGCATCCACCTATACCGCCTAGGCACCCGCCTAGCCCTCTCAGACCCACCTAAACACCTGCCTAGGTTGCAACTCACTTAGATAGAAATAGATAACTTTCATTTTGCATTTTATTATTTCCAATAAATTGTAAGAGACTTATTGAACACTTAAATAAACACACATTATATGTTTGCTCCTCATGTTTTCATTATGTTCCAATACTTCATAATATACATGTCATTCTATTTTCTAGTTTATAATGAAATTATATATATTTTAAGTATAAACAGACACTTATTTACACGAAATACAATAGATTTACTTAAATCTGTCTAGTCTGCCTAGGTGCTAGACCCCAACCTGCTGCTCGACTAGTGCCTAGCATCTTTTAGAACCTTTGAACTTAGATAGATTACGGGTGTTCCAAAAAAAAAAAAAAGAAGATAAATTACGGGTGTTTGAATAGAAAAAGGCTTGAAAGACTCGCATGAGATGATGAGTTAAATTTTTCCCAATTGCTTCAAAGTATGAGTAGATGTTAGAAAAATGTTAAGTGGAACCAAATCAATCATACAGGGTTTTGGATGTTACCTATAATTTAGGTAGTCATTAAAAATAATAATCATAGTTGTGAGTCCTGTGATTTTGCATTGCACATGCATCTCATTTCTATCCGCTTTTTCCAAGCAAAGTGGCATCTAATCAATCTCATAATTTATTTATTTTTCTTCATCAACTTTCATATTTTTATGTCAAATGGATAGGGCTGACGGCTGAATATGCACGCAAAAAGCATGTTCTTTCTAGTTTTCAATGTTCTTTTAATTACATCTTTAAAAAACAATAAATGAACATTTTGGAAAGGAGAAGATTTTGTCATTGCTATCTTTTATGGTAAATACTTCCTTTCCTACCTTCCATATTGTTGTGATCTGATCTGATCTGATCTGATTAATCATGTATCACAATCATGGTAGCATATAAGCTAAAGATTTAATTAAAATATTAATCACGTCATAAGAAGGTAAACTTAATAATTTTTTAAAGAAAATTGTACCAAAATGTGTATAAAAAAATGAAATAAAATAATATTCAATAAGGCAATCTCAGTCAGACTATTAAAAATGATGGGATTATGTGAATAGAAGTTGTAATATACGGCTACTTAGTACTACAACTCAATGATATCATTTTTACTTGTACTTAAAAGATTTTACGCTCGATTCACGTCAAAAATGAATTTGAACCAATCATTATGGCCACTCATTGTCAAGTTTTCCTCAATCCCCACCTCTTTGGTTGATGGCTCTTTTTTCCCACAAAGATGAACTTCATTGAGAGGACTTAGATAAATACAGTGGTTGATGGCTGTTATATCCCATGATATATTAATGTATTAGTATATTCCAATTAATAATAGTCTCATCTGCTCGAAAGAAAATGGAAAATAGATAATAAAAGGCAGCCACAAAACCAGATCCATACAAGTGTCATATTTTGTCAACACGTGGTTTATCCCATGGTTTGTCCTTTCCTTTTTTTATTTTTATTTTTTTTTATAGCTACATAAGCAAAAGAAGCAGTCAAAATATTGTCCACAATTCAAACCAATCTCTTCCCAACACTCCTCAATAAGATTAATGCCTTAAGTTATGTTTTGGCATTGAATTAGGTCATATTATTATTATTTTACAATAACTTTATTTTTTTTTCATCTTCTTTTAGTATACAAACGATATTCTACACTAATTTACACTAAAATAAGAAAGTTTAAACGCAAAACAAATAATGTAGAATTAAAAAAGAAGACACTAACCATAAGAATAATACATCACCTGATGCCTTCACCTTGTTAACATCATGGATTCAAAATGCATTGACTTACCATGAAATTATACGTGAAAAAAACTAAAAAAAATAGAGTCATCGGTCACATGAGCGACGTGAGGCAACTACACACCTAAGAAATAACAAGTATGCTTAGTTGTAATACCTTTTAATCTCGTGATAAGTTGGAATATAAAATAGTGGTAGAAAATTAAAGCATCTGGAAGGGTGTAGGGTTGAGAGTGCATGGGAGGCTCTTGTGTGGGTGAAATGACAAGATGGTGGTTGGCAACAAAAGAAGATGCAAATTGTCGCTAATAGTTTAGGGTTTGGAGGCTAAAAAGTAATAGAATCACGGTATTGGTCGTGAGTCTCGTGACGTTGCCCAAGTCGCACACGACTGCCGTGTCTCCGTAATCTTCAAACCCTCCGTCATCCAGCCCGCGACACGCTTCGGTGACAATCCTAACTGATTAATATCTTATAATTTTGATTATTTGTACTAGGATTAGGTAACGTTTCATATGTAAAATAATAAAGATAAGGAGTAAAATTGTTATCGAGCCTGCAAAATATTCATCATGTACTTCTGAATGGGTAATTTTTTTTTATTTTATTATGTTCTTACAAATGAGGATTATACAAATTTTTTAGTTTAATTTCAGTTCGCTCTATAGAAAGGATGAACACATCATTGAAACTTTGTTGTTGTGGTTTTTTTTTTGGGGGGGAATTCTTTTACTATTATTAGGGGACATGAGAGAGTTTGAAACCATTACAATAATCTAAGTGAGGGAGAATTTGGAACTCAGGACCATGGTTAGAAACCCAACACCTATCCACTAGAATATGAGACTACATGTGTGTTATTAAATAACACATCAAATTAGTGTAACCGGTTCTACTCGGAATTCTCTATTCATGATAGTCAAATTTAAAACCTCATACTTATAAATAGTGATGAACATCATCAAATCATAATACTTGTATAAAGATTTTGGTATTAAATTCATAAACTAAAATAAAATTAGATATCCATGAATTTGATACCATGTATGTAGGATACACACACACACACACACATATATATGTATGTATCCGAGTAAAAAGATTTCTCTGGTCACCTTTAGTTTCTAGATATTGTTGATGTATCCCTCTAAAATGATAATTGTCCCTTGTTAATCATAGGTTTTTTTAAGTAACGTGTATTCAAACGGTACTTAACATGTCACAATACAAATAAAGAAACAACATATTTTTTCATATCTCTCTACTTATTTTACAACACCTGAAGTACCGGTCGGCTTCATACATGACATTTGGAAAAATTTCTTCTTGTCAAAATAAGAGACGAGATTTTCTCTTTAAGTCAAAATGTTTATTATTACACAGTATTAGAACCACTTTTACCACGGTCTGTATCATAATTACAGTTCAACTCCCCCCCCCGGCATTTATCGCACACAACACGTGCGTTGTACGCACAGCCCATCTGTATAAATACAGGACTCCTCCAATGGCTTCCTCAAATTATTAGAAACTCAAGTTGCCTTCTCAAAGTTCATGCCCACATTTTATATAAGCATACAACTCCAACCGTCCAACGCACAGAGAGATCGGTTCCATAACTTTCCAGATACTTCTCTGTTTCCGCCCGTTTGGACTTTGGACTTTTGCTTCGTTTCACCTTCTTCTCCGCCCTGTGTTTTCTGAATTCGTCGTTTTTCAGAACAATTTTCAGAAACTGGTATTTTGTTTTCCGGGGAGATTTTCTGCAACCGCTCTGCACGGAAAAAAACAGAGCAGGCGTGTAATTACATGGTGATCGTGAGAAAAGGAGGAGAGGAGGACAAGAACAAGAGGAACGGTGGAAATTACAGTAACAAGGGAATGCGACTGGGGAAATACGAGCTTGGAAAGACACTCGGGGAGGGTAATTTCGGGAAAGTCAAATTTGCTAAGAACGTCGAGTCCGGCCAGTCCTTTGCTGTTAAGATTCTGGAGAAGAACAAAATTATTGACCTCAAAATAACCGACCAGGTTCTTCTTTTTTTCCTTTTAATCCTAATTTTTGTTCAAAGTTTTAATCTCTAATTAATGGGTTATTTTTTTTCTGTTTCAAAGTTTTAATCTTTTTGCTTAAACGTTTTAATCTTTCGTTAATGGGATTATTCATAAACTTTGGGTTGGAGTTATGGATCCTGCAACTGAAATTGGCATTCAAGTTTTTGTATGTTTTAGAAAAATTTCCCGTACTTTCTCTTTGCGGAATAATATTTTAAACTACTCTAATTTACATGCAAGGTATTGAAACTCGAGTGTGTCAAACTGGCCTAATCCGTATCTGTATTTTTGTTCGTTTCAAATTTGACGAAGAAAATAACAGAACTGAAAATTTGCAGATAAAGAATGAGATTGGAACATTGAAGTTACTCAAGCATCCCAACGTTGTCAGATTACATGAGGTACGACAATGCTACTACAACTCTGCTAATCGTGTTCTTCTGGTTTAAGTCAATTATAATTGTTTAAACAATAGTTTGATAATCATCATCAACATAATCTTTAATCCTCCACTAATTACGGATTTACAGCGTACTAATACTTTAATAGTCACATCGGATCATGAGTCCATAGGTAGGATGTTTGGTTTTACTTGGTAACATTTTCTGATGTTCACCATGTGTCCGTGCTGATACGCGATTAAAATAGCATTAGTAGGTAACCCAAATGGACCACAATATTTCCCATATGGCCTCAGTTGTCACTTTCAAGATTCTGCTTCGCATGTCACCTTTTTTTGGCTGTTAATTTAGGGTTTTGGTATTTTGGATTGGTTAGGCTATGATTGAAGTGGATAGGATGGAAGTTGTGTTTATCGTTTGATGCGGACAACTCAATTTAGTTTGAGATAGGTTGGGAGTTTTCTCGCTCTGGTTGTAGGAGCCTCACCACGTCATTCTAATAAAAATTAAAACGAAAGGGAAATTTGATTCTACTTAGTATTACTGTTTAATGATATGTTTTTTTACTTGTAAGTGAGAGGTTTTAGGTTCGATTCTCCTCAAATGCGAATTTGAACCACATTATTGCTGGTTCATTGTGAGGCTTAACTCATTCCCCCTGCTTTTTTTTTTGTTGAACACTTCATTCTCTTAATGTAAATAATATTGTTTGTTAAAAAAAATATAAAAAAAGCTCCCCTTAAATCAGCAATCCCCGCTCATCAACCCAAAACCCATACATGTGACACCTACAATTCAAAATAAATGGGAACTTGTAAACTCACCACCTACCACCCACTGTCTACCCACCACACCTCAAATAAGAGAGTAATGCTTGGGTGACTAAATGATATGTTATCAATAGGAATGAATACGTTTATCAATACTTGAGTAATAAACCAATCATCAACTTTTATGTTCTTTAATTTCTAAAATTTTGTCTATAAATTTAATCTCCCTATCATTACCTTAAATCGAAGAAGAAGATTGCAAGCAAAATCGAAGAAGAAGATCTTTGAAAAATCAAAGAAGGTGGTTGACAGCGAAATCAAAGAAGATCACCTAAAAATTGAAGAAGATGATTGATGACCAAATGAAATAAGATGATCGCGCAACAAAAAAGAATTCATGCAGATTAAGAAGGAAATCGTGGAGACAGACTTGTAACTTGTGTATAAAGATAAGATACACAACCCACCTTATTTCGAATGCATAACCTATCCATCTTAACATGTCCAAAATACATATCATAGACATTTTAATTGAATATAACCGGTGACATCTAGCACACCAAACTAAACCTTACATCACACATTATTACACAATCTTGGGTTCTGCTAAGAAATATGTCAATGGTTATGTGGGATGAGGATTCTCTCGGGATCCTCAATCCTCATTCGATTGGATTATCCATGAAATGTTATTAGTCTTTCTTCGATCCGGTTAATCAGCGTGATTGAACGTTGACCCTTGATTTTAAATTGTGATTTGATGACCCTGTCAAGTAAACCAGCTTGATGACCAATCAACTTTTTTCTAATGATCTGCTGACCAATCAACTAATTACTTAAAAAAAATATTAAGAAACTGAACACGTATTATATCATAAGTAAATGTGTTGGCGAAAGCACTGAAAAAATCCCCAAACAAAAAACTTCTTTTTGGCTTTCGTGATCAAAAGATTTGTTGATTTTTAGAATTCGAATAGTAATCTAATCTTTAAATATGGAGTGAATTCTAACTTGAATGCACATCAGACTCATTGCCCTAAGTTACAAAGATTGTTTCTCGAGCATCTGGAACACATGTCGTTGCACCCCTTCGTAACCTTTTCTTGTTTGAAATGAAAAGTTGGACGTAAAAAATGCTACTTTTACCATATTTATACAATATCTGTATTAGAGATAAAGACTCACATATCCGTAGGCCTTACCGCAAGAAATGCTAAGTAGATTCTTTCAAAGTAGACCTCATAATTTAACGTTAATCTTCATGCCAACAATATAAAATATTATGTTAAAAACATGAAGTGGCAGAGAATCCATGAGAATTTCACTTTTGAGTACAGCTGTCTTCACCAACCAGTCCATAAAAGCCACGTGTCTACAGTGTTGTCATCCACACTTACCTACGGGCTGCGGTAGTTCTTGCGTGGAATGATCTGGCAAACCCACCAACGGCTATTAGCTTCTCGGAGTTTAGAATGCGGTCCCACATGACGGCTTTGTGGTGGCTAAGGTCCATCAATAACGTTTTAATTATTTTCGCCCACTTTCGTAAGGCCGTAACTTTATGCCTATTTTGTCCTCATTAAAATTAAAAACGAAAATGACAGGTTGCTTAGTATATTCATTAAGTAGCTTAAAAATAAATTTTAGTATTGTAAATTAATATTAGGATGTACAATAATTGTCTTATGCAATTGTTTAGTATAAATAGCTTCATGTTTCGCTTAAGAGTAATCAAGACAGAAATAATGTAGTAAAAAAGTAATAAATTTTAATAAGAAAAAGAAAGGAAGGGGAGAAGTGTAAGCATATTGGTTAAGAATGTGCTTTTTGTTAGGCCAAATTGATTCTCCGAGGACAAGTAGGTGTCTCACACACAACTATTAACGAAGAGCTAATCTCATCTAAGTTTTTTTTTTTTATTTAAAAAAATACAGTTCTTCAATTTCTTTTTTTGTGGAAGGGAAGCAGTAGTTCCAACTCTTGACCTCTTCCAACACTATCATATGTCAAATTGTGATTTGTCTGCGAGAAGGAATGACTCCTTACATACAATCGGCCAAGTATTTTCAAAGAAATTGTTAGTAGCAATAGTTTGGAATTGAGAAAAATAAGATAATATTTCTTGTTTCTAATCATTTTTATTAGGGTATACAAAGCAATGACCTACAATGCTTCGTTTGATGCTAAAATTGTGCTCATCTTGCAGGTTGTAGCTAGCAAAACCAAGATTTACATGGTCCTAGAATATGTTACCGGCGGCGAATTGTTTGACAAAATTGTAAGGAGCTCTTACTCTAAGCAGCTTCTAAAAAAAACAAAATGGTTATCGAACGAGCACATGACGGGAAACATATAAGTTACTAAGTAGTGGTTATACTAATAAGTTTCTCCGTGCTGCAGGTACACCATGGAAAACTTACAGAAACCGAAGGCAGGAAGCTTTTCCAACAATTAATCGACGGTGTGAGCTACTGTCACAACAAAGGCGTCTTCCATCGGGATCTTAAGGTACTTCCTGCATTTCCCAAAAATTATTTTTACGACATGGAGCCAAAACAAACTGCATTGTGTTCCAGTTTGCTCACACTTTCAAATATTGTATGTTCTGGTTGCAGCTTGAAAATGTTCTTGTTGATGCCAAGGGGAATATAAAGATATCGGACTTTGGCCTCAGTGCTTTGCCCCAACATTTTCGGGTACATTACTCTTCCAAACCAAACTTTTTAAGTGTTTAAGTTTCGCGTCAAGTACGAGTAATTTAACCCTTTGATTGTTTCTGATATGTCAGGAAGACGGTTTGCTTCATACAACCTGTGGAAGCCCCAACTATGTTGCTCCCGAGGTTCTTGCTAACAAAGGTTATGATGGTGCCACCTCCGATATATGGTCATGTGGTGTCATCTTATACGTCATTCTCACCGGATTTCTCCCTTTTGATGACAGAAATCTTGCAGTTCTCTATCAGAAGGTATCGACGAATTCTCTTTGAATCTTTCTTACGTTGAGTGGAGGAACTTTTATTGTTTGCACCCCATCGCTTCGATGCTAATATTTTTAGGGGATTTCAGATCATTAAGGGGGAAGCTTTGATACCGAAATGGTTGTCACCTGGTGCAAAAAACTTGATCAAGAGGATTTTCGATCCCAACCCTGCTACCAGAATAACAATGACCGGCATCAAGTCAGACGAATGGTTCAAGCAGGATTACTCTCCTGTAAACCCTGATGAAGAAGAAGATGTAAACATCGATGATGAAGCTTTCTCAATACATGAAGTGGTATGAATTCGCAATTCTTGTCCGTTATCAACCCTTCTCGGCTATCCGTTTTTATCTGTGCTAAAACTGAGAGTTATTTCTTTTGGTATAGCCATCTGAGGGGGAGAAGAGTCCAGACGCCCGGCATGCGCACACCCATATCAATGCCTTTCAGTTAATCGGAATGTCCTCGAGTCTAGACCTCTCCGGCTTCTTTGAGAAAGAGGTGAGGATAAAATGATTTATCTTCTTGTTTGGCATTGTATGTTTTGATTTTTCTACCGAAGTTGAAAGTTCTTGATTATATCTGACTGTGATATCTAAAGATGAAGATGCTATATCATAACTACAGTTGTTAGTTATTAGTTTGGTATAAGGTGTCATTCATGTAATTAGTTTATCTTATGTGGTAGCTTAGAATAGCTAAATGTAAATAGTCTAAAGACTATATATATGTGATTGGATTATTATTTTGGATTTAATGAGAATACACAGAAATCTTAATACTTAAGAAATCTTTCTTTCTCGCTCTTCTCTCTTCTTTCTTCTCTCTCTCTTTCTTTTGCAAGAACACAGAACTTCTACATGGTATCCTTCGCCGCTTGCCTCACGGCCATTTCGATCCATTCTTCCGCTTTGTTTCTCTGATCTTTGCTGTTCATTTCTTGCAATTTGTTGTTTCTGATTACCATGGCGTCTCCGTCAGATTCTGCATCTCCTGGATCTCTTCAGAATTCTGCCCCAAATCCTTCGACAAACCCTAATTTGTCAAATTCGTATGCTTCTCTCACAATTCAGAATATTGGCAGCATGGTGCCGATCAAGCTCAAGAGATCTAACTATCTTCCATGGCGTGCTTTGTTTGCACCGATTCTCCGACGCTACAAACTTCTAGGTCTTGTTGACGGCACTGAGCCATGTCCACCGCCATTTCTTCAAGATCAAACAATTAATCCAGCCTTTGAGATCTGGTATGAAAAGGATCAGAACCTGTTGATTTGGTTGAATTCTACACTATCGGAAGATGTTATTCCGTTTACTGTTGGTGTATCTTCTGCTCGTGATCTTTGGATCAAGCTGGAACAACGTTTTGGTGGTGTCTCTGATGCTCACATCCATCAACTCCGCTCTCGTCTTCAAGCAATTCAAAAAGGTGCTCAATCCATGGCGGATTATCTTCAACAACTCAAAGAAATCTCTGATTCTCTCTCTGCTGCTGGTGCACCTATTTCTGATCGAGATCTCATTGCAGCCACTCTTGCTGGATTACCTGATGAATTCGAATCATTTATTGATTCTGTAATGTTACGCCTCTCTTCCACGTCTTTGGATGAGTTACACGGCCTTCTTCTTACCAAGGAGCTTTCCATGTCTCGTCGCAAGAAGCTCTCTTCTTCCTCTACTGAGTCCTTTCAAGTGTTCTCTGCTCAGTCTCAACCGCCTCTTCTTCCAACTCCACCGACTCAAGCGTATGCTGCTCAATCTCAACAATCTCTTCGATTCAACTCGAATCGTGGTCGCAATAACTATCGTGGTAATCACTATCCCAATTCTGGTCGTTACAACAACAATCGTGGATATAGAGGCAATTATAGAGGTTCATCTTCCAATCGTGGTCATTCACAAGGTGTTCGTAGTTCTTCTTTCAACAGCTCTCATGCTTCTTGCCAAATCTGTGGCTCTAATAGTCATGCCGCTATCGATTGCTTCGATCGCATGAATCCTGACATTTCTGGGAAGATTCCTCCTGCAAAACTTGCAGCCATGTGTGCCCACTACACCTCCAAATCTTCTCCCTCTTGGCTACTGGACTCTGGCGCCACATCTCATATCACTAATGATATTGCCAACATATCTTCACCAACACCGTACACTGGCGAGGACAAAGTTTATGTTGGTGATGGTAACGGTCTCTCTATCCATCATATTGGCTCTTCTTCTTTGCATTCTCCTAATGCTAAATTTCATTTGAGTAATGTACTTCATGTTCCTCAAATGAAACACAATCTGTTATCTGCATACCAATTTCTCAAAGATAACTATTGTGCCTTAACACTTGATTCTGATGGATCTGTTCTTAAGGATCGTACTACGGGGAGGACGCTTTTGCAGGGCCCCGTTAAAGATGGCTTTTATCCTCTGCGAAACTGTCCTTCCATTCCTCCTTCTTCTGGATGCACTTATGCTTTTGTCAGTGCTCAAGGTTCAGTCAAACTGTGGCACAGTCGCCTGGGACATCCTTCCTCCTCTATCTTTCGAAAAGTCATCTCCAGTAATAAGCTTGCTATTAAAGGTACATCCTCTGTTGACTTCTTTTGCTCCAAGTGTGCTATTGCGAAAAATCATAAACTGCCATTTAGCTCTTCAACTACATCCACCTCTCAGTCTCTTCAACTATTACATTGTGATCTGTGGGGACCTGCTTCTGTAACTTCAGTGGATGGTTTTCGGTATTACTTTCTTGTTGTTGATGACTTTAGCAAGTACAGTTGGTGTTTTCCTTTAAAGAATAAATCCGAGGTGTACTCTACTTTTGTTCTCTTCAAAGCTTATGTTGAGAATATTGTTGGTAATAAAATCAAGATACTTCGTTCAGATTCTGGGGGTGAATTTACCAGTTTGCAATTTAAAGCTTTTCTTCATACTCACGGTATTGTTCAACAACTTAGCTGTCCACACACACCAGAACAAAATGGTTGTGTGGAGAGGAAACATAGACATCTTGTGGAGACTGCTCGGACCTTATTAGTTGAATCTAGTGTTCCTCATCTTTATTGGGTTGAAGCCTTTACCACTGCTGTTTATCTTATCAATAGGCTGCCTATATCAGGCAAAACTAAATCACCATGGGAATTGCTGTTTAGCACATATCCAGATTACTCCAAACTTAAGGTCTTTGGGTGTAGTTGTTATCCATGGTTAAAGCCCTACATTTCCTCTAAACTTGATGGGAAAAGTAAACGATGTATCTTCTTGGGTTACAGTTTGCAACACAAAGGTTATCGGTGTTTGGATTTGGACCATAATCGGATTTATGTCTCTAGGCATGTTACATTTGATGAGGCCACATTTCCATTTAAAGATGTCATTTCTGTTCAATCCTCTGTTGATCAGTCTCCTTCTGTACCTTCATCAATTGATCTTCACTTTTCCATGCCCACATCTATACCCCCTGCACCTGTGTCTTTTTCACCCTCACTACCATCTGCTTCCCCATCTAATATTCCTTCTACACCTGTCTCTCCCTCTCCACCTGTGTCTACAAATCACCCTGTACATCAATCTGTCCCTCAACCTGTACTTCAACCTGTCCCCCAACCTATCCCTCAATCTTCTTTTACTTCTAATCTGCATCCCATGGTCACTAGATCCAAAAATGGTATACATACACCTCGAGTGTTCACAGCTACCAAACATCCTCTTCCTTCCACCACAGATTACATTCCTCATACTTACCTTCAAGCCTCTAAGTTTGCCAATTGGAGACTGGCCATGCAACATGAATTCAATGCTCTTTTATCCACTGGCACTTGGACACTTGTTCCTTCTTCACCCTCTCAAAATGTAGTTGGATGCAAGTGGGTCTTTCGCATCAAAAAGAATCCTGATGGATCCATTGAGCGATACAAAGCACGCCTTGTTGCTAAGGGCTTTCACCAAAAGGAAGGTCTTGACTATACAGAAACCTTCAGTCCAGTTGCAAAGCCAGTTACTATCAGACTGTTGTTATCCTTTGCTGTCCAATTTAATTGGTCTCTCAAACAACTGGACATAAGCAATGCTTTTCTGCACGGTGACTTAAAAGAAGATGTGTTCATGGTTCAACCCCCTGGGTTTCAAGATCCCTGCAAGCCTACTCATGTGTGCAAGCTCAGAAAATCTCTCTACGGCCTTAAACAGGCTCCTAGAGCTTGGTTTGACAAATTATTTCAAGCCCTTCAATCTATGGGATTTAGTCAGTCATCCTCTGATGCATCTTTATTTGTTCTTCATGCTCCAACTCTGGTTATAGTGCTTGTCTATGTTGATGATATTCTGGTCAGTGGTCCTGATGCTCACATCTGCAATCAGTTCATCGCTCAATTGAGTACTTTGTTTCCTGTTAAAGATCTAGGTCCCTTGCATTACTTTCTGGGTCTAGAAGTTCATCACACAAAAGCTGGTATGCTTCTTCACCAAAACAAGTATCTGCTTGATCTGCTGCAGAAAACCCATATGACTGGTGCAAAGCCTTGTTCCACTCCACTTAGCTCTACCAAATTAGATCATAGTGGGGACTTACTTGCTGATCCCACTGAATATAGATCCCTTGTTGGTGCTCTTCAATACTTAACTTGGACACGGCCTGACATTTCCTTTGCAGTCAACCAAATCTGTCAGTTTATGCATACCCCTACTGTTCTTCACATGCAAGCTGCCAAACGTATATTGAGGTTTCTCAAAGGGACTATCACTCATGGTCTTTTGTTTAAAAAAAGTGATTTGCATCTGTCAGCCTATTCTGATGCCGATTGGGCTGGCTGTTCTTATGACAGACGATCCACCAGTGGTTCATGTGTTTTTCTGGGCACCAACTTAATAAGCTGGAGTGCCAAGAAACAATCAACAGTAGCAAGATCATCTACTGAAGCAGAGTATCGTTCCTTGGCTCACACGGCTGCAGAAGTTACCTGGATTTGCAAGGTGCTCAAAGACTTTGGCTTTCCTATCTCTCACAAACCTACTCTCTGGTGTGATAATATCTCTGCTTTATCTCTTGCTTCCAATCCTGTATTTCATGCTCGAACTAAGCACATCGAGATTGATTATCATTATATTCGTGAGTTAGTTCTTGCAAATCTGGTTGAAGTCAAGTATGTGTGCAGTCAGGATCAAATTGCAGATATTCACACCAAAGCCTTGTCTAGAAACCGGTTTCAGTTTTTGCAATCCAAGCTTTCTCTTGGAATTCTTAATTCTTCCAAGTTTAGCTTGAGGGGGTGTAAAGATGAAGATGCTATATCATAACTACAGTTGTTAGTTATTAGTTTGGTATAAGGTGTCATTCATGTAATTAGTTTATCTTATGTGGTAGCTTAGAATAGCTAAATGTAAATAGTCTAAAGACTATATATATGTGATTGGATTATTATTTTGGATTTAATGAGAATACACAGAAATCTTAATACTTAAGAAATCTTTCTTTCTCGCTCTTCTCTCTTCTTTCTTCTCTCTCTCTTTCTTTTGCAAGAACACAGAACTTCTACAATATCTGCATTCTGTCTGAGTTAATTTAGGATGTGTCCGAGAGGAAGATCAGATTTGCATCCAACCACTGTGCAAAAGATTTGCTCAAGAAAATCGAAGAAATCGTAATGGAGATGGGATATTGTGTCCAGAAGAAAAATGGAAGGGTTAGTATTGTTTACACCCTCATTTTCTAGTCAAATCCAAAAAAATACTTGCGCTTCAATCATATAAACTCGTATAAATCATGTCGTTTTCATGTCAATATTGACTAAAATATCGTCATGTTTTCTCGATATTTCAGTTAAAAGTGATGCAAGAACACAAAGGGGTGAGAAGCCTGGGCAGTCTATCAGCTGCAGCAGAGGTAAAATTTCATTCCCAAACTTTTGGAGTACTTCTTCCCGGAAAAGTATATTTACCGGCATGCATTTGAAAATTTAAGTTTACTTGAATATCAACTGATAAATTATGTTCATAATTGCATCAGGTGTTTGAGATAAGCCCATCTTTATTTGTAGTAGAGTTGAGAAAATCATATGGTGATTCTTCTGCATATAGACAGGTATGCATACCCCCCTCTCTTGCAAATTTACCACTACACCCCTTCTCTCTTGGGTTTCTGGCATTAAATCAGTTCTTTTGGTATGTGCAGTTGTGTAAAAAGCTATCAAACGATTTAGGTGTTCCCTCAACCCAAGAGTTGCTGACCAGCTAGTGTGATTAGAAATGCATATAGAGTGTGTGTGTGTGTGCATCCATATATTACAATTTTATGTAAATATTCAGTTTTGGATGCAAGACTCGAGTAAATGCGAAATATGATTCAGATTGCGAGAAAAACATCCTTGTGTAGTTTAGCCCTGAGCACCGGCAGATTGTTTCCGATGTCCTGAGCCCTTCATCTCGGGTTAAAAAATGCTGTAGTAAAACATAGTAACTTGGTGAACAAGAGAGTGCCTGCTGTCTTCAACCAGATGCTAGAAAATACATTGCTGCAATGCTGCTGCCAATATTTTTACCATGTACCCTGGATCAAGCTGCTGTTCTCTGCAGCTTGAATTTTGCCATTCAACGCGGTCTTGTACTTCTCGTCTCTTCTTAAAGTTAAGCATAGATTCAATGTGCAGAGAAGAACAAAGACCATACAAGTTTTATTTCCACTGTCACTAACATCAACTGCCATATGCAAACTCCTGTACCCGCTTGCGTACAACCAGGTTTTTCAGCCATTTTCAAGTTGCTTTAGGTGCCGATGATAGGCCTGCAGAAAAGTTACAAACAGAATGTATGGAGTGCTGAACTTCCCACAACTTCGGACTACTTTCCTGCCTATTACCCTTTAACCCATGATGGTGGATGCCTCCTAATGCTTCATCTGTAACCTTAGTTGGGAGTTAATTGCCGGTGAATGGAATCAAAGATTAGATGGAATGAATGGATGAGTCGATTTCATTATTTGGTTCGAACTTAGGGAAGATTGAAGCCATTCTATCGCGTTATTTACTGTCGAATCAATTTTTTAAGTACCAATACATAAAGACAGTAGCCTGCAATGACGGTATACATTCTTTATTATAATCGCAAAGAGAGGGAATACAATGTTGGATAGTTAATTACAGAATACAGATACATCACTCCTCGTCGTATACACGGTACAATTCAGGCTATCCTTTTGGAACCAACATGTTCTAAACCATTAGGACACCTGAACAATAGACGAGAAATTTAGCATATACACTTGGAAACCTTATATTTACATGGTGAACGAGAGACTACAGATAAGTCTTCAACCGGATGCAAGCAAATCTAATTCCGAAGCCCTGCTGCTAAGATCTTCACCAGACACCTGGATCAAACTGCTACTGTCTGCAATTTGAAGTTTCTCATTCAACACGGTCTTGTACTGCTCATCTCTTTCCTCGAAATTACGCATAAAGCCAACCTGCAAGACATAGGTAGAAACATAAGTTCTTCAACGGTGCGAATGTGCAAATTCTACACCAGTATCACTATTATCCGGTATTTGAATTATCTCATTAACACCACCCTTTCTCTCCCCACAACCCGAAAAGGAACAGAAATGCTGAAAGAAAACCAATAATCCTTCTAATATTTGTTTTTCCGGCTAACTACTCCTATTGTGAAGGACGAAAATCTTTACCTGTTTCTGAAACAACTCAAATTCATCCGAGCTAAGTGAACCATCACTATTTGCATCAAGTAGCTGCATCATCTCACATGCATCTTCCCCTGGGGCACCAAGCTCTTCCATCACCTCCATAAGTTCCTCAATATTGATCCTACCATCTCCATTCTTGTCAAGAAGGCGGAATGCTCGATTATTCTGACTCTGCTCAGTCTCAATGCCTTCGTGATTAATATCTTTAAGCCGCAACGCAGCAAATTCGGCTGCAGCCATCATGATGGCCTTAAGCCTCTTTGCCTGATCATCAACGATTGATTATAAGCCTCCAATAAAACATGCTGAACGTAAAAGACAAACATTCAAAATTAGCAAATATCAAGTGCATAAATCAAACAACCTCTTCTGGGTCTGTAAGACCGCTTTTGTACAATGAGTGAGATGCCATTCCAGCGTCTGCCAACATGTCCATCTCCTTAGTCCTTATCTGTAATTCCATCAGTGGCCTACTCCTCCCACAGTCACTAACATCAACTGCCATATGTAAACTCCTGTACCCATTCTTCTTGGGCCTTGCAATGTAGTCTTTTGTCCTGTGAGGCATTTCCTTCCACATAGATCGAACAACTTCGCGCGTCCTGTAACACGCTTGTTCCCCTACCTCAGCCATATCTTCTCCATCTCTAGGCTCCAATATGACTCTCAATCCCAAAACATCATTCACTTGCTCTGGCTTCCTACCATCCTTCAACAGCTTCTTCATTGTGCTATAGCGACTCTTATACCGCCCATCAACTGAAACATCAACCACCATGTCTGCCAACAACGGATCAACTCTCAACGACCGCAACAACTGTTCCTTGTACACATCCACCAGAGGCTTACTTCCAGTCTCATGACTTCTCAACCAAGAATCGACATAAAGGTACGAATTTGGAAATAAGTACTGAAATGAAAGATCCTCGAGCTCCAATGACAGCCAGTTGGCCCCAACAGCATGAGCCAACGGCGCGTGAAGCCTCATTACTTCTAGAGATGTCAACTGCTGCTGATACCGCGGCATGTAATCAAGATGCCGCATCACATCAAGCCTGAGCACCAAGTCCAAAATCACAGCCCTCATATCGTAGTAAGTCAAGCAAAACTTCCTCAATGCAGTTGCACTGTCATCATCCAAGACATCAACTTTTGAAGGGACTTTCATAACCCGCAAGCTTTCGTGCAAGAGATGCGCAGTGCCAGAACCAATCTGGTTCCTAACATCGAGAATCGAAATTGAACGGGCCTCCACAACTGGCCGGAGAATCCCAGCTGAAATTACTTCAGCATCCATCTACAACAATCAAATTTACTTAAAACCCATTAATGAGTTCATCCAAATTACACAACTGAAGGACCAGAAATTAAAAAATTACAAAAAGAGAGAGTTGACTCAAACGATCATTATACAAATACGAATTGCTGAACTGATCAAAATCAAATACTTCACAAATATTTGCTGAAAAATAATCAATCATTAACCACATATTGATCAAATATTTACGGAGAAACGATGATTTCAGCAATTTGGATTTATAAATTCATCGTTTCAGCCAATTTCCCGGAAAACCAAAAGTCTCCGTTACCTGAAGGTCGGCGAGGAGGAGAGAGATGGAGAGGGCTCTGGAGAGAGAAGAACGGCCATCTGGGGTCAGAGGCAGAGCATGGAGCAAAGGAATGGAGAGCTTGAGAGCCTTGAAGAGCAAGTGGGAGCCGCTGCTGGAGAGCATGCCCATCCTCTCCGTGAGCTCGTTGAACGCCCCCACGAGCTCCACCACCATCTTCCCACCGGTCTGCTCCAGCAGAAACGACCTCGTCTTGGAGAAACCATGCCGTCGGCTTCGCTGGTTGCATTTCCGTAGAGTCAGAGTGAAAGGGAAGATCCGTACGGTAGGGTCGAGGGTTCTGGGTATTGGGTCCTGGTGAGGAAGACGGTGGTGAGGGTGGGGAAGGTAAAGCTCCATGGATGGATGGACTAGTTTCTTCGTGGTGGAGAAGTAAAGAGAGGTGGTGACTGGTGAGTACTAAGTAGTGAGGACAGGACAGGACACGTATGTGATTTTCTAAGTTATTCCTCATTTTACGTAATAGGAATTTTAAAATATAATTTAGCCCTAGTTTGGTATAGATTAAATTTTTTTTAAAGCTGGGATGAAAAAAAAAATTGAGCTCAATATTGTGTTTTGTAACTCAACAACAAAACACTTATTTCCAAATCTACTGTGAGAAACAGCTAGAAATGAGCCCAATTTTATCACAATTTTATCATCGATTCGTAGGTGACCTGCAATTATTCGCCCAGTCTTCATGTGATCATAGCACTTGAGCGTATTTATTTACACCCAGTTCTGTCGTACATACCACTTTAGGTGGTTCCGACTCGTGTGCATGTATAGTTAATGAGTTGTGGACTTGAGCTCTAGATTCAACCGTACAGGTCACGTTAGGTGACTTCGGCTGACAAATTATATGACATTGATTTGACATTACCTGAGTACTTGCATTTTATTTAGAGGCATTCGATATGGCATAGTTCCGAGCATGTTTTGTTTATATGTATATATTCTATTTTCTGGGAAACTATATAGGTTTTACGGCGAGGGGTTAGAACTTTTGTTATTGAAATGATTTTAAAAAACTTTATTTTTGCCCACTCACGCTTTCTGTTTTGCGTCTCTCCGGGTTATAATTTGGATAGCTCTTTTGGTGGCTCTTGAGGGATTCACGGCATATCTGACAGATTATCACCAAAGTAGGACCACCTCTGGGTGTGTTTATTTAGTGTTTGTTCCCCGACTGCACTAGGTCTTCTGTGCTCTGAATATTGTTTTTCATACTTACGCTTGCACATGTATGTTATTTACTCAGTGTATAGCTTGATTTTTATTTATTCGTACTTTTATTATTATTCTTAGCTTTCGCATTGCGTACATGGTTATGTCACTCTTACGTGACGCCCAGCACGTCCTAATTTTGATCGGGGTGTGTCAAAAATCGTACAGGACACAGGGACCAAATTATAAATATCCAAAAATGAAATTACATACTCTGCCTATTTCAGTATTTTGACATAAACGACTTCGTTTAGTAAAGTAACGGAACACACAGAAGAGAAACATCCTCTCTCTCTCTTCCTGAAGTCCTAAAACCCTACTGCGCCAAATCCCCATTGCGATCTCTGCAAGCTCCTTTCGGGGTTTTACACCGCGATATGCCATCAAACCCATCACTCCACTAAACACTGTTCAGATTTCACGGCGGCCATGTCGGCGTTATCGAGAGGCCTCATTTCCCGCCTCCGCCTTCTCTCGCTCAACCCCTCCCATTCTTCTTGCACTTCTACTGCTGCCGCTAAAGCTACGACGTCGTTCACGCAGACCCAGTGCCATTTCTTCAGATGCTTCAGCTCCGAGGCCATGGTGGACGCGACGGAGGCCGTGGCTGACAGGAGACCGGTTATTGAAGCGAAGCCCGGCCCGATGAGCCCGGGTTCGAAGAGGACCGGGCTCATAGCCGTCAAGTGCGGGATGACTGCGCTCTGGGACAAATGGGGCGCTAGGGTTCCGATAACTGTGCTCTGGGTCGATGATAATATCGTCTCTCAGGTCAAGACCCCTGAGAAGGAAGGCTTCCCTGCTCTCCAGGTAACATTTTTCTCTTCATTTTTCGCTGTTCGTCGCAAATTCGATTTGGCTTCGTTTGGTTATTGTTTTAATTAAAATATTTAGGCGTTATGAAATTTCCAAAGTTCAGATCTTTTGGAATTTTCGAGAGAAGAATATGGTAGTGCGTTTCTGTAGTTTTATAATTTGATTACAGTGTATTCAATTGAAGCAGTAGAAGTTGCATTTTAGCTGTTTAACTGGATTGGCTTGGCTTTGTATCGGGTTGCTTCAGTTGCGATTTACAGTTTGAAACTATATGCATTCCTTGCTGGGGGATCAAAGGTGTTGTTAGTAGGGGTTTAGATGAATGGGAAACTGATAGGTTCCAAAATTTTTGGTCACCGAGAGAACATCATTTGTAATTTGTTTTCCTACTGTTATTCGTTAACTAGATTAAGTGGAACTGTAATTTTGGTACTTGCATCTGGGGTTTTGTTTGATTTTTCCAATATTGATCAAATTGATTTTTCGTGGCCACTAAACATAGGGTAATTTTAATTTTTGAAAAATTCCAAGGTCACGGGTTTAATTATAGGATTGTATTCTGTTGTGGTGCTAGTTAGATTGGTTGCGGACAGAAGAAAGCAAAACATTTGACAAAGCCAGAGTTGGGTCATTTCCGAGGTCAGGGTGTTCCACTTAAGAGGAAATTGCACGAGTTTCCTGTATCAAATGATGCGCTTCTCCCTGTTGGTATGGAAATTGGTGTTCGCCATTTTGTTCCAGGCCAATATGTTGATGTCACAGGAATCACGCGAGGGAAAGGTTTCCAGGTGAACTTATTTATTTATCTTCACCTGTGGTTGTGTATGCTATTTCAAGAAAGAAAAAATGAAAAAAAAAGGAAATCTTTGTAATCAAATTAATCAACGAATTATGTAACTGTGTCTCTCAAAAAATCTTGATATGATGGTGACAATAGTAACACTTTTGTGAGGTTATGAAACATTATGTATCTCTCTTATTTTATGTGCCCAGGGTGGAATGAAAAGACACGGTTTTAGTGGTATGCCAGCATCCCATGGCGCATCTCTGTCACACCGAAGTATTGGTTCTACAGGTCAGAGGGATGATGCTGGAAAGGTTTGGCTTCCAAATCTCCATAAACTTTTCTGACGAAGTTCTTTTCAGATATCTGTATATAACCAAACCTTTCTCTTGTCTTCTAATGAAGATGACTTAGTTTAATCAAATAATCTGTTGCTTATTTGTGTATCAATAATTCTATTTGAGCATACAAAACTGACACACTCTGTATTAGAGATGTGCCCAACATTGTATGTGGAACCCACCATATGTTAGAGAATGTGTCAGCAAGTGTGTTAGTTTTGTGTCTAAATAAAATTACTTTTTGTTTATTCGTGGACATGCTGGATATACTATATTGGTTTTACTTGTTTATATTTTTTTCTTGGGTTAGCTGCGTTTTACATCACAAGGTTTGGGGGTCATTTTGCACATTTGCAAAATGAGCCATGAGGTTTCAGTTGTTGCATTTTGCACAACGTAGTTTGTTAATTGCACCAATATAAACTCTCCGTCAATTTCATCGTCTAATTAGATGTTACATGTTGGTGTGGCATAGACTTGACCCACATTTTAAGCACTTTTTGACCGTGAATTTCAATGTTTAGTACTTTACTCTATTAATCCTTTTATGAAATTGATAGTCAACTTGTGCTTAAAATGTGGCCTAGTATATGCCACATTAGCACCTAACGCCTAATTAGATGATAAACTTGACGGAGAGATTAAATTAGTGTAATTCTGAAACCACGTGGTGTAAAATGCAAAAATTGAAACCTTGTGGCTCATTTTGCAAATGACCCCCAAACCTTGTGTCGTAAAATGCAGTTAACCCTTTTTTCTTTATCTGTAAAATGCAGGTGGTTTCCAATAATTATAAACTGTAACTGTGATAATCATTTGTTGTATGAACAGGTCTTTAAAGGCAGAAAGATGCCGGGGCGCATGGGTGGGAAACAGAGAACGGTGAAAAATGTATGGGTCTACAAAATTGATCCTGCAAGGAATTTGATGTGGGTGAAAGGCCAAGTATGATTCCTCACACTTTCTTTTCCCAAGTTCACGTATTTTGATTATTGAATCTATTCAACAATAGTTTTGTGAGCTTAATATCTTCCCAAAGTGTTCAGAACGTTAAGGAGGAATTGTATAATGAGAGGTTTTGAGTTGGGTAGATAATTTTGGTTGGTTTAATGAATGCGTTGATACACATTCACAACTGCACGGTTTAAAATCAATACAGTGATTGGTCCTAATCCTCTCCTGGAGTCAGTATGTTGTGTTGTTAATTCCTGTTTCGCACTACTCAATTAGATGTTGGCTATTCTCACAGGTCCCGGGTGCTGAAGGGAACTTCGTTTTTATCAGAGATGCCTTCTACAAGAAACCTGATGTTTCATCGCTACCATTTCCAACCTACTTTGCTCCAGAGGATGAGGATCCATCCAAGTTAGAACCGCTAGTTGCTGATCTTGGAGAAGTAGATCCGTTCATGGTGGCAGATTAACTAGCAGCTGAATTTGAATTCCCAAAGGTACTAGGTTGTTGAGTTATGGCCAATCGACAACATTTCTGTCGCGGCCTGTCTGAGGCTATTGATTTGTCTCGTTTTCTTTCATCGAAGTTGATTTTTGGTATAGGAATACGCAGGCGCAGAGGTTGTAATATTATAATTGAGTTCATTTCAACCTCAGAATTGAGTAATGACACCCACAAATGTTTTTGATGTTGGAACTTGGAACCATGTTTTCAAATAAATGTGGCGACTTGAAAATTTTGCGTTCCCGTCCCCTACAGATCGTTTTTTCTTCGATATGGTAGCGTTGCACTTAGTGTGGACGCACTTTCACATCGCCGGACTTGTACATTGCTCGTTCAGAGTGGTAGCTTAGGTGTTCGGACTAGTAGTAGTACATTACCACTTCAAGCATGCACACTTGAATTTGGTATGCGACCATTCGACACGCACACTAGCTTCAAATATGAACTTTATTCGCGTTTAGCGCAGTGAAGCATCGAAGCAATGAGTCGAACGAGTGTGTATACGAGAATGCATTTGCTCTGGTCAAGTGCAAACAAGCGATATTCTATTTTAAACCAATTAGATTGCGTGAAAGTGAGAAACTTGTATGAATGATCACCGTCGCTCTAATTTAGATCACGTGAAAGTGAGAAATTTGTATGGGTGATTACCTTCGCCCTAGTCAATGTGAGTGGGTACGACGGTTCAAGTCGAAAATATAAAAAACTTATTTTGTTGTGCAGACGGGATTTAAAAAAAGAGAAAAAAACAAAAAGAGGTTGGGCTTTTGGCGTTTTGCCAAAATTTTCAAACGCAAACCGTCAAAGTGTCAAACGCTCGTAGACTTGTCAAACACTCGACTCTGAACAATCTCCTACGCTTCAAAACCCTAATTCGCACCCCAAAGAAACCCTAATTTCCACCTCCCTCTTCCTCTAACCCTAGGGTTACCGTTACCCAATAATCCCGTCCAATCCAGTGCAATCCAATCCCCCACCCTCAAATGCGAGTCCAATGGCAATGAGGCGAGACGAACCCGAACCCGAGAGGCGACTCTGCGGCGTCTGCGGCTCCTCCGAACGGTGGTTCCTCCATTACATCCGCTACAAAGGGGCGTTTCAGAGGCTCTGCACCAACTGCGTCCTCCAAAACTACCGCGGCCTCTACTGCCCTTTCTGTCTAGAATTCTTCGACCCACCCCTTCCGGCACGTGACCGGGTCATGTGCGTCAAGTGCCCTTCCGTTTCTCACCCCGCCTGCGTCCTCGTCGCCAATTCCTCCTTCCATGGCTTCGAGTGCCAGACCTGTCAACAGGGCTACCCCTTCTTCAACCTCAATCGCCCACAAAACGACGCCAACAACCCCAAAACGGCATTCGTCATCGACAAGGCCAACGCCAAGGCCCTTGTCGCCGCTGCCAAAATTGCTGCGGCTTCGATGGCGAAAGCCGCCGTCGCGGCCAGGACGGAGGCCGAGCGCCGCGTCAGGGAGGCCGTGATGGCGAAGAAGAAGGCGAGGGAGGCGTTGGAGAAACTCAATTCTCTGGTTAACAAGCAGAAAGAGCAGGATTCGAAAGCTGGAGACGTTGTTTCCGGGCCTAAGAGCCTCAACGGAAAGCCAAAACTGGAGAGTTCTGGTGGAATTCCACCGGCGCCCAAGATTGTTAAGGCTGAGGGAAGTAATGGGTTGGGCAGTGATCCATTGAAAATCGGTAATGTTGACGCCATGGAAGAGTGATCTCAACTCAAAGGAAGGATTTTGAGCTTGTTGAGTTCATGGGTTTCATTTCAGCTCCTCAGCTTCTGCTTGAGCTGCTACACAGCCTCTGTCAACCTGTGAGTCTCTCTGTTAGTTGCAGATAGTTCTTTTTTTTTTTTTTTTTTGGTAATTTATGCGAGGGCAGCCTGGGAACCTTTTTGGGGGCATCGTAGATCAGATCGTTGTTCTGTACTCATATTTACTTTTCCATACAGTTTTGTGTAGCTGAATTTTGATGTTGTGACGATTCTCTGGGCCTCTCTGTATCTACATTGTACTTCTTTTTCATGATCAGGAATTGCATTTTCCAATTTCGAATGTGAAATTTCGTGGTTCATTAAGCTTTATCCAATCCAATTTGTGTGATGACCCTGCTTGCTGTGTCCGGATTTTCGATGCTTTTTAAGGAGATGCTAGAAAGTTGACATGCTTTTCAGGACTTCAGCGCCGGTGTCTCATCAAACACACTAGCTTAAAACGAGTCCTTTTCTCTTTCCTTGCATCTTTGCCGGTTTTCCTGTCTTCTTTCTAATGTTTTGTTGAGTCAAGCAAGTTCGTTATGAGCGTCATTTGACATGGCGTGTGATCTCCTGAAAGACATCAGTCTCTGGTTCGACGCGGGTTGTTTTCAAAGTAATTCTGTTGTGGTTTCAATTGATTCTTCAGACTCGTTTAGGTGTCGAAACATTCTCTCTTTTTTCTTGTTCATTTTGTTGGTGCTTGCATAGCGTGAAGCTCAAAATTTTACAGGCCTAGAGTGCCGACTTCAAGGTTGCAAACCCCTTTGTCGGGTAAAACCTCAAAAATTACCGTTGTGATTCAGTGTCATTCCTCTATGAATTGACCTTATGGCCGTTTTTACATATCTGAGTGTTCAAAATTCGATTTAATTTAACCTCTCTCGTATTTGGTTTGCTATAGACTATTCTCTTTCCTGGTTGCTCTGTTTCCTTCTTTGTATGTTCTTTGTCATTCCCCAGCGAACGCTATGCCGATCTTGTCAACCTCTTTGCTGTTTCGCGTAATTGGCCTTCCACGCAAGAAATTTTTTCAATCTACCAGAAACATGATCCGATACACTAAGTGTCAGAATACATGTGGTTGGCACTTGAAAAAGAAAAAAATGGATATACTTATGAGTACCTTATGCTCACTTTTTAGATTTGGCCCAATGATATTTTAACATATATTTTATTGTTTAAAAAAATAGTATATGTGTTATTTAATTAAAAAGTAGTGTATGTGTTAAACAGGCCTTTATGCAAAGGGTTTTCATATTTTTTCAAAAAATAGGGATTAGGTGTTGGGCTTACTTCACATCGAACTTCAACGATCCGAATCATTTATTTTGTAAGTCTCGTTTCATAGATCATTTTTACAAAAATTCAATTCAATCCTAAACCATTTGCATATTTAATTATCAAGATGAAATTTTATTATTTTTTATATAATAAAATATTCGTTAATTTCTTTGAAATCAATTAGATGTCTTAAACATTTTTTATTTGGTTAATACTTTGTCAGAATGATCTATGAGGTGCAACTTGAAAAATAGACGGTTCAGATCGTTCAAGTTTGATGTGGTTTAGACTCTACAACTAATCTCCATTTTTATTAAAAAAAAATAAGGATCTCTTCCCTTAAAGATTTTCATATGTTAAAAACAAAAATAACGTGTCATCTTTTGATTGGGCTATCATAGAATGAGTATATAATATATATGATATTCACTAGTGAGAGAGATTGTTCACTATGCCTGGGACATAAAGCGGTTCGCCACATGTTTCTATACAAGAGACACTTGAAAAAAAAATTTATCCTTCAATTGTATAATAACATGTGTGTACCTAAGTATTACAAAAAAAATAAAATAAAATAAAAAGAACTTCCAACCATTTATATTATGACATTTGATACTATCTCGTGCACTTGACACATTGAAAAATTTCTCCTCTCCCACACCAATAAAACAACCATAACAGAAATTGAAAAATAAAAAGTATATAAAACCATCCCCAAAAAAAATATCGAATTATAATAGTCAAATTACAATGGCTGATAAAAAAATATGTCAAATTTTGTAATTTTCTAATGGAGTTGTCAAATTATTACTTCCGGTGACTGCAATAAAGCGCAGAAAGAAAAACCATTTCTGGGGCCCACAATATATCTCTGATGCACCCAGAAACTAGAAGGTGCTGGCGAGCTTGCAGGTTCTCTCACTTACTCCACGTACAAATGACTTCGCTCCTAGTACATCAACACACCCCACCCTCCCTAAGCTCGCCTGGAATCCACATTTCACCGTTCGCCACCTTGAATCATGCTCGACCATGGTGGAGCTCAAGCAGTTGCACTCCCAAATCATCAGGCTCGGCCTCGCTGCCGACAACGACGCCATGGGACGTGCCATCAAGTTTTGTGCCCTCTCCAAAAACGGCGATTTGGGTTATGCTCTCCAGGTGTTCGACACAATGCCTCAACCGGATGCATTCATTTACAACACTGTAATGAGAGGCTACTTGCAATGCCAATTGCCGAGAGATTGCATTGTTTTGTACTCGCGGATGTTGCAGGACTCTGTCCCTCCCAATCGGTACACGTTCCCTTCCATTGTGCGAGCTTGTTGCGATGATGGTGCTGTTGGAGAAGGGAAGCAAGTCCATGCCCATGTCGTCAAACTCGAGTTTGGAGATGATGGGTTTTGTCAGAACAATTTGATTCACATGTATGAGAAGTTTCAGTCTTTGGAGGAAGCTAGAAGGGTGTTTGACAAGATGCCCCAGGCGGATGTTGTGTCTTGGACGACTTTGATTGCTGGGAACTCCCAATGTGGCTTCATTGATGAGGCTTTTGAAATTTTCGAGTTGATGCCTGAGAAGAATTCTGTTTCTTGGAATGCCATGATTTCCTCTTATGTCCAGAGGAATCGTTTTCACGAGGCATTTGCTTTGTTCCAAAGAATGCGAGTGGAAAATGTAGAATTGGATAAATTCATGGCAGCTAGTATGCTATCGGCTTGTACAGGTTTAGGTGCTCTAGAATAAGGGAAGTGGATACATGGATATATTGAGAAAAGCGGGACTGAATTGGACTCAAAACTTGCAACAACAATCATTGACATGTACTACAAATGTGGTTGCCTGGAGAAGGCTTTTGAAGTTTTTAACGGGTTGCCACATAAAGGGATTTCTTCATGGAATTGCATGATTGGTGGGCTAGCAATGCATGGGAAGGGAGAGGGCCGCCATTGAGCTTTTCGAGCAGATGCAAAGGGACATGGTAACACCTGACAACATTACTTTTGTTAATGTTCTTAGTGCATGTGCTCACTCAGGGTTAGTAGAAAAGGGGCAGCAGTACTTCCGCAGCATGGTTGAAGTCCACGGTATTGAGCCCCAAACAGAGCATTTTGGCTGCATGGTTGATCTTCTTGGAAGAGCCGGGAGGCTGGAGAAAGCAAGAAAGCTAATAAACGAGATGCCAATGAGCCCCGATGTAGGTGTTCTGCAGGATATGTTCCGGACACAGAGGGAGTGTTGCATGATCTCGATGAGGAGGAAAAGGAGAATCCTTTATACTACCACAGTGAGAAACTTGCAATTGCCTTCGGCCTATTGAATACCAAACCCGGGGAAACTCTACGTATATCGAAGAATTTACGAGTCTGCAAAGACTGCCACCAGGCAAGAAAGCTCATCTCGAAGGTTTTCCACCGCGAAATAATCGTGAGGGATAGAACTCGCTTCCACCATTTTAGAAGGGGAGACTGTTCTTGTAAAGATTACTGGTAAATGGGAATGCTGTCTGGTTGTCCAGAAAATACATGACATCTTGCTTGACAAAATACTATATAGTATATGCTGGATGTTCATCTAAGTACCGATATACTGATAGAAAAAGAAAAAAAAATATGTATGTATGTATGTATGTATGTACCTGTATAAATTGCTAACGAATAGTAAAGCTCTTTGGTGAATTGTTTTGAAAGAAGAAGAAACCATTAGGTACGTTTCATATTACAATTCGTAACCTGAAATATCAAGAATTTGATGGGTTCGGGGTTAGATGTTCCCACACACAATTTCCCACTCGCACATTTTAACTTATCACTTTATAACGTACTTATTCCAAGTAAACATAAGGACACAACCCTTCAATAGCAAAAGTCGCTCACATACCTTGAAAAATCTCTCTACTGGACCGGATTTGTCCATCCAATGGTTGGTTAAGATAGGGTGTGGCTGCATATCCCTTTTTCTACCCAAAACCATCTACCATTTTTGGCTTTTTCCTTCCTTTCATGCAAATTCACACGCTCTACTCAAATTTCTTTGTCCCAACTTCCTTCCTCAATCACTCTGGCGCCATCTTAACAACACACACACTACCAAACTTTTATATCTCGCCCATCCAAAAAAAAAAAATCATGAATCCTCCATTGTAAACAAATCATAAAATCAAACTAAATTTTCAATAGCTTGCAACACCCATTTTAAGCCTTTTCCCACTTAATTGTCTCATTAGTTTAATCTAATTTGATTGCATTTGGGTTGGCGATAGTTTTATGCTTAAAAATTCATGTCTCCTCTTTGTTAAAAAGTATATAAAGAGTCTCTATCAATGTAGCATTCTTTGGCGTATCTGTGCTATTGTTGAAGATATCAAATGGTTGGCCTCTTCTTTTGACTCTATTACTTGGAAGCATATTTTAAGGAAAGCTAATTTTGTAGCTGATGTCGTCATCACTTCGTGTGGGCATGGTTTAGATAACTTCCATGTTTGGATTGGCTGTGCGCCTCCAGCAGCTACTAATGCCTTGTTGTTTGACTCTAGGGCCCTTGGGTGTTCTCGGGGTTTTTCCCTCTCTTAATTTAGTTCATTATTTAATAAACTAATAATCAAGAAAAACTAGTTAATTAATTGATGATTGTGATATACAAGGGTCTTTCTCATTCTTTTCCTTGGGTTTTGCAAATTTTTCAAATGATGTGGTTGTCTACATCAGATGTCACCTAAGGTGGTATAAAAATAGGGAACTTTCATGAAAAGGGCTTGAACTAAGTTTATTTTAATAAAAAACCATGCTATAACTTTATTTAATTAAAATTTTAAGTTTTAATGAAAAACTCTTAAATTTTAATAAAAATGACAAAAGAACTTAAATTTGAAAGAAAATGACATAATTATAATATTAAAAAAAAAAAAATCTGACGCGCGCTCAGCAGTTAACACGATTTGGATTTTTTTTTTATGTTTTTGTCCTTATTATTAAATAAAGTTATTGTATGGTTTTTCATTAAAATATAAAGATTTGAAGTTCTTTTCGTTTAGTTTTCTT